AATCAATACTTTATATTAATTAAAATTCTTTAAAATAATAAAAAGATAAAAAAAAAATAACAAAAAAACAAAAAAAAATGATAACTAAAATAGATCAGGGATGCTTTTGGATTGATATTATCGCTCACAACTATAGGGTGTATATTCATATGTGAATAAATGGTTACAGATGAAAATGCACATATAGTGTTCGTTTCATAAATAAAACTAATCGTGGTAAACTATTTTATCGTCTTCAAATCGACGTTTTGATCATCTTCCTCGTGGGTTCACGAGCTGAGAAAACACGGCACTCGTGGCATCTTCGTCGGTGCAAGAGTTGGCGGCATCGATCATGCTCGTGCTGTTCTCAAACGGCTCGATTGGAGTTAACGGGATCCCCTGAATGTGGTTCGTGCTATTATCATCTGGTTCCGTGAGAGCTGATGAGGTCTCTTCGAGTTGCAAAGCATATTCCAAGTTCCATAAAACGTCTCCCATCGAAGGCCGGTCGACTCCATACTCGGCCAAACACTTCTCAGCAGTCTCACCGAACTTCTTTAATGAAGCCGGATTCACTTTTCCGACCAAGTTTCCGTCCATGATTTGATCCAACATCCCCTTCTTTTGCCACGACATCGCCCACTCGGCAATATTGACTTGCTCTCTCGGAAGGACGGGATTCAGAGCCGGTCTCGTGCAGATAACCTCCATTAAAACGACCCCGAAAGAATACACGTCCGACTTTTCCGTCAATTGCTGCCTTCGGAAATATTCTGGATCAAGATAGCCAAAACTACCCTTCACGGCTGTGCTCACATGGGTTTGGTCGAGCGATGGTCCGGCTTTCGATAGCCCAAAATCCGCAACTTTGGCTACAAAATTCTCATCCAACAAAATGTTAGTCGTCTTCACGTCACGGTGGATTATACTCTGGGCTGCACCCGTGTGGAGATAATGTAGACCTCTCGCAGCCCCGATACAGATCTCAAGCCGTTGCTTCCATGATAGCGGCGGGAGATCAGTACCGTAAAGATGACTCCTGAGCGGGCCGTTAGCCATGTACTCATAAACAAGGATCATTTCTGACCGTTCGTCGCAGTACCCGATAAGCGAGACGAGATGCCGGTGTCGAAGCTTCGAGAGCATCTCGATCTCCGTTCGGAATTCCGCCAATCCTTGTTCGGATCTCGGGTTTCCTCGTTTAACCGCTACACGGGTCCCGTCTTCCATCGTCCCTTTATACACCCGTCCGAAACCACCAACTCCAAGAAGCAAATTCTCGTCAAACTTGTTCGTCGCCTCCATGATTTCTTGAAATGTGAAGTTTCTACCGAGATTACATGAAGCCAACGAGATGCAGCTTGCGGTTCCACTTTTCTGAGAAGTGGTTGACATCTTCGTCATTGTGAGCGAGTTTCCGTACAACGGAAGCGGGAGCCACGAGGGTTTTGGATGGCTCGTTTTCGACCTCCTAGCCAGCACGAAACAACAACAGAAACTTAAAACCAGGATAGCGATGGAACCGCCAACAACCGCCCCTATAACGATGCCATTCCTCTTGTTCTTCTTCGCCAGAAACACAACAAGATCCTCCACGGAATCAACCCCATCTAAGCTTCGAGCTTCGTTGCTAATTTTCAAGATTTCGAGCCCGTTCAGAAGCCCATTTGCTTCTTCCGCTGCATGATCTGGACCAACGCTGACCGTCAAACTAGGATCACTGGACGAATTACAGACAAAATCTTTGTAAACAGGCACATCCAAGTTACCCGTTAAGCTCGACAAATCCAAACTCGCATACGCACTCTCACCATTTACGTACAAATTGAACACGAGCGTGTTTAGAGATGTGCTCACAATATCGCAAAAATGCACACGAACAAAGTACGTGAAATTCGGATCGACAGGAAGAACCCAAGTGATATTGAAGTCCAAATCGGCAACATTCGCATCTCCCATCGTCTCGGCAGTCGCATACACCCAATTCGGCGCTATTTCCGGCGTGACACTTTCACTATACTTCACGATTGACGGATTGATCGACACATTCGCAGCCGAGCTATTCACATGTAAATACTTCTTATCGTTTTCCCACATTCTCCCCAATGTATCGTTCTGAGGAGTCAATTTAGGGCCGCCCATATTCAAACGGTACACAGTTTCAAAAGCACGATTTGAAAGACCGCTAATTGGGGTGGATGGGAACACCGATACAGCCTCATCAGGGATCAATTCATCCGGGATCGAGACAACTTCAATCGCGTTTACAAACGCAATCGAATCATTCGAAGGGATGAAACTGAGAACCAACGTATCGGAGGTCACGTTGACCAAGTACTCTTTAAAGAGATGAGTCGAACCATTGTATCTCGCAAAACTGTAGTTGTTTAAGAGCACAAAGTCTCCGGTGGCTACGCTTAACGAAGCCGAAGTGAGATTGTGGCCCGGAATCGGGTAAAAGTAGAGTCGAACCCAATGCCGACCCTGTTTCTTGATTTCGAATTCGAAAGAGGCCGTGGTGGTGAACATTCGGGCCGATTGGTGGACCGATAATGGGACACTGGAATTTGATTCGATTATATTCGAATTCTTTTGAGTCTTTAGAGCAACCATTGATGATGGGTCTGAATCAGGAACATAGGTCTGACCAAGATATGTGACATTTCGGGAAGAACCACAGACAATTAAGTAGCTATCTTCAGGACTGAATGAAGCAGTTGATGGATGAATGTATGCAGATTGAAGAACAGCAAGAACTAAAAGAACCCACTTCAAGAAACTCATTTCTTGAAGATCTGAATACCTGAAATCCCCAAATTGACAACTGTTCAAACTTGAAGATCCAAAATTTAGTCAATCAAGCAGCTTATGAACAGCAAGAACTCAAGCAACCCACTTCAAGAAACTGATTATGTTGAATATCTGAATGCTTAAATCCCCAAATTTATGATAATTTGAGGTTAAAAGATGCAAGCTTGAGGCAATCAAGTAGCTAAGAACAGCAAGAACTCTAGCAACCCACTTCAAGAAATTATATTGAAATCTGAATGCTTAAATCCCCTAATTGATAAAGAATAATAATTTGAGCTTAATGGCAATCAAGCAGCTAAGGACAGCAAGAACTCAAGAAACCCACTTCAAGAAACTGATAATTTTGAAATCTGAGTTCTTAAATCCCCAAAATTGAATAATAAATTGGGCTTAAAGATTCAGCTTGAGGCACTCAGGTGGGTTATCAGCAGGATTAAATGAGTATTGATGAAGATATGCAGATAGAACAGCAAGAACTCAAGCAACCCACTTCAAGAATTAATGGTGAATCGAACTTGAAGATTCAAGATTTCAAGCAAAACAACTAAACGGGTGCTGAATCAATGGAAGAAATCAAAAAGGTACAGTTCAATTCCCACCAAAATGTAAAGAAACACTGAGATCTATTTTCATGGAACCAATGGGGTTATGAAAACCAGAGAAGATTAGGGTTTTGAAGTGAAGAATGGAAAAGGGGTTAATTTGAAGTAGGTCTTACCTCATTTCAAATGAAGAATGTGGAGAGAAGTCCTTGAGAAAACCAGAAGCTTTTTGAAGGCCACCGCTCTTTCCAGGCTGGTTTACACAGGAGAAAGGGATAGAAGAAGCCGATGGTGGAACCCATGTAACCAATTTGGCCCATGGTCATGTTACCAAATGGTTCGGCACATGGGGTCTGAGTGGCTTGTTATTTCTTCTCTTTTTAGGATGTGTTTTTACGCATATCGACTAATCCCATGAATCTTTAAGAATAACCACAAGTATCTTCAATGATCTTATAAAATACAGATCGATGATCAATAATCCTTAAATACTCAAGTTTTATTGTCATTTGACTTAATCTCATAAAATTGTGATGTAAGGTTTTGTTGGCAGCATAGATATATCCATGAGAACTGTGAGCCCTCCACTGGGGTCCACTATGCTAAAAGCGAAAGAAATCTCATCCCTTTATTTCCTTTTTTAGAATATTCGAGAAGATAATCGAAGACACAATAAAAATTGTTTTAATTTATATTTTCAGCATAACGATTTTTTTAATGAATATAATAAATGTTTAATCTTACTTAATTATCATACTTGTTTTACGCTACAACGAAACTTATAACTATTGGTAACGAAAATTGTTTAAGTTTAATCTGATTTTTAATTTTTTATTTTAGATTTTAGTTTTACAATAGGTGGTGGTGGTTTTTAGCCGAAGACGGTTCCTTCATAGTTAGCAAATTAAGAGGACTAATCGAAGAAAAAAAATTGTAGGAACTTTAGACAACAAGGTTGTAAACCCAACTAAAGGGCCTTTGGCTTAGTGGTATCGGAGCATTTGACCTCTCAGGAGGTCAGAGGTTCAAACCTCACCAAAGGTGGAAGAGAGTTTGTGAGTTTATTTGTTTCATTCTGCTGTATATAAATATTATATACTTAAAAAAAGGTTGTAACCCCACTGTGTAATCTTATTCCGTTAAAATGCTCATCTTTATTTGGATACTTAATTTGAATTATTGGATCACTGTCTTGCATCGTGTCGCAATCTTTTGCAAATACATGAAGGATTTTAGAAATGGCGAGGCATGCCTTCCTCGACCCCTTTGACTCTCGAAGATATTTTGGACTTTCCTAATCGGGAAACTTCATATCATGGAGTGGCACAATTTACATTATCGACTCTTCTTTATGTAATTTGGAGAAATCAAAATGATATGGTCTTTCTCTATCAGTAACCAACGTCGTAATCATTCAAATATAGTTTTTGACACTTAATTGCTCTCGTTTTTCTCGTCTTCGTCGCTGTCAAAATGCCTTAATATCTCATGGACTTTATGGATATCTGAGAAATTTGGATATGATGGATATGAATAGATTAACATCGAGGTCACGGGTGTTATAATCGTCATCCGAAGGTGGTCTTTCTCGGTTCATGTCTTTTTTTTCTCTTCTTTAGTTGGTTTCTGCACCTTACAGAACCTAAGCCTCGTAGACCCTCAAAATCGTACTTTGTTTTTTTCTTCGTGTTTTATTGAATTTTTTTTTTTGCATTTCAGAACAAATCAATCAGTTAAAAAGTTTTGGTTTTAGGTTTTGTTTTCACCATTCATGTATAGAAAGACAGATAATGCCCGGTGTGCGAAGCACGTGAGAGGTTTAACTGAGCCAAAATAGACGGTGTTATCAGAAACAACCCACAGAGATCGTGGAGTGAAATAAAGAGAGTTTAGAGACTAGAATTGTAATTTTCACCAAAACACAGGGACTAAAACCGTAAATAACTATAACAAATATTTACGGTTATTGGCCAAAATAGTCATTTCTTCCTCCAGAATTAGCCTCCTAGGCATTCATCTCCTTGATTTACCAAAATGTCACTACCTACGCAAGTTTCACCTCCCATTGCAGACCTAGCTAAAAGACAGAAAAAAAATTAATGATAATGTTAAATGTATCTATTTTTTATATACATCAACACTATTATTAGGGACCGTTTACCAAATATTTATTGGGTAAGTGCTTATCAATAAAATTTAATACTATTATTTACTTATTGGATAAGATTTTAGTCCACCAAAACGACATCACATGCAACAATTTACCCGGTAAGTGCTTACCGTGGTAAGAGTCGTCGCCCTCACTTACCGGGTAAGACTCTTGGTCCTTGTCTCGCTCTTTCCGGGTAAGATTTTTGGTTATTACCATATTCATCCGATGAGGTAACGTGATTTGGTAAGCGCTTATCCGAGTACGCATTTGGTAAACAGTCCCTTAATTTTTATATGTTTTATATATAATTTAATTTCATTCTAACATTAATGGTATATTTGGTAACTGGATATGGCATAAATGAATAAAACATGAATTATTGTTTTACATTTGACATGATTTTTATGTGAAATATAGTGCAACAGGCGTGTTCCAACCCCATGAAACAAGATAGAACAAACATACAATTTATCACTATAAACTCAAAATAAAACTTAATTATCTTTTAAAACAATAAATACATCTCTCTTTTTAAATTTTATTTAATGTACTTTATATATTTTTCAATTTATTGTAATCACAATATTATTTTTATACGGTTTCTATATTTTGATTAATTTATGTAATTTATTAAATATTAATAATAAAAAATTATATAAAAAAGGTATAAAATAAAATTAGAAAGTACATAAACTTTTTATTTTGATATCATTTTAGTCGTATTTACAAAATCTTTTTAATGATATATTTATTTTGTTATAATTTAATAAATCATATAAATTAATCAAAATAGATAAACAACTCATTACGGGTAAATTTGTTATTTTGTGTCCTATGTCATGTCTTGCCAAGCGTTGTACAATTGTTCTATCATGTTCTCTTGTGTTATGTCTTGTTCTATTATGTTATGTTATATTATATCTGTTATGTTTAGCAAAAGTACCAGTCGTTTTAACAAATACATGAAAAAATGGTTATTTTGTTAATTGCGTACACGTCTAATGGTCATTTTGGTGATTTCCGCCTATGATAACCTCGAGGGATTAGCAGAGGAGGACTTATCCTTAAGGATATGGTTGTTTATGAAACCAAAAAAATAGGGTTAAACCACGGACACCACCTATAGTGGTGCATACGGTGGCACATGCCACCGTATTATTCATCCATCGCAGAGTAAAAAAAATTAGGTTCGTGAAAGGTGCAATCGTATTAATTTGTTGTATGTATTTTGAAACTACAATGAGAACAAGTTTTATTTGATAAAATTGGTTTGCAAGGCTTTTATTCCACCCCAGACCCAAGTTCGAATCATGTTAATATCGTTTTCTTAGTCAAATGGTGTCACAGTTTGAAAAAAATTATGTACATTTGTTTCTTATGGTCAAATGGTGTCATCACTTGAAACTTTTTCCCTATACTTTTTTCTTTCATAGTCAAACGGTGTTACCGCTTGAAAAAATTTATGGATCCGTACCTGGGTTAAACGTAACTATTTTGTACCTTGTAATATCATTTAAAAAATTCTTGTATCGGCTTGGTTAGCTTGCTGATTAGGGGTGCTCAAAAAACCGACCAACACGATCAACCTGAACAACCCAACCCAACCCAACGTGAAATAACTCAACCCGAAGCAACCCGATGTCTAATCGAGTTGTAAAATTTTCAAACCGTAGGTATTGGGTTGATATTGGGTTGCTATTATTTGAACTCAACCCAACCCAATTCGATGAACCCGATATACTTTTATTTTTTGGATTTAATATGATCGTTGAATTTCTATTAATGTATACATTAGACAGTTACACTATCACGTACACTCTTCATATACACATATTTTTAATCTATTAACATCTCTATATAACTCATTCGTATATATGTTCAGTAAACGTGAACATATATATGTAAATTGAGAAAATTAATTGAATGTGATATACGTAAGAAATATGGATAAGTTGTATCAAATGGTTGATGATGAAAAGAAATTGTGAGTAAAAAAATAACATATTCAAGGTTAGAAGAATATTTTAATATACCAAAATATAAACCCGACCAACCCGTACAGGCAGGGGCGGATGCATTCAATAATGGTTGGGTCCTGGCCCCCGATAAAAAAAATTACTTGTAATAATTTAGTATAATTGGGCCCCAACATAATGATGTAAAAGGCCCCCTTCTTCTCTTCAGTTCACAGTTCACGGCGCCTTGACCCAGACCCTTCTTGCCCTTCACCGCTCGCGCTCGGCGCTCGCTTCAGCCTTCGACAGACGAGAGACGGAGAGAGTAGAGACCGACGACACGTTCACGCCACTTCTTCTTCTTCTTCTTCTTCAATCTTCATCGTTGCTTGCTTCTTCGGTTCTTCCTTCCGGCTTTCCCTAGTTTCCTAAACTGGACCGACAGTGGACTGGAGTGGTGACTGTGGAGTCACTGGACTGATTCGACTGAAGCAAAGCAACTCTAATAATTTGGGTAAAAATTCTAAGTTCCAAATTCCAGTCTTTAATTTTGATTACTTCTTTGATTTTGTTGTTTGCTTATTAGTGATTGATTTGTTAAATGCTTTATGTTAGGTTAATTTTGTAGGCAATTTTGTAAGCAAATCAACTGGAAATGTCAAATGATAGGTTAATTTTGTAGGCAAATCAAATGGAAACATCAAATGTTAGGTTAATTTTGTAGGCAATTTTGTAGGCAAATCAAATGGAAATGTCAAATATTAGGTTAATTTTGTAGGCAAATCAAATCGGATGTTGCAAGATCTTGGTTGGCAGAAGAAACTGCCAGAATAATGCAGTTAGGCTGCAAGAAAAGAAGAGGCATAGAGTTCAATACATGATAACCCCACAAAACTATTTGACGAGCAATGTGTTTATTTATTTTATGTGTAAACTGTTCAGAAAATATATAAATAAAAGTATAATGTGTCGGTTTAACCAAAACAGTAAAAGGTTTTAACTAAAAATCAAACCGAATAAGTTATCTTTATTCGGTTAACCGAACCGTTTAAGCTGAAAATGAAAACCCGAAACCTTTTTTGGTTCGGACGAATTGTTCGGTTTCAAAAAAAATTCGACACTCCTAAGAGTTCCCCCAACCATAATAGTTTCTAGATCCGCCACTAGGTACAGTTTGAGTTAGGTTAAGATTTTTCAAACCGCAAGCATTAGATTGGGTTGTTCAAATGTTTTCAACCCGATCAACTCAACCCACGAACACCCCCATGAATGACAATAACATATGTGTTCGAACCAATTTTCCTAATTATGCTTAATGATTGCATGAAATTAGTCGAGATGCAGGAACGCAAGATTTGATTAATCACCAAAAAGTATTTCAAAACGAACCCATAAAACTAGTAGTAATCCATACGTCTTTTCGATACAACAAACAAACCTACACACATCAGTTGATGTTTCTCTTGGTTTCCAATTCCATGATCATTTAGTTTTTAAATCTTCACCTGTATTCCGGTCGGTGTGATAGCAAACAAGCTTTTCCGGCGAAAGCTATCAAAAGGGATTTCCGGCGAAAGCTATCGGAAGCGTTTTTTCCGGCGAAAGCTATCGATAAGTTTTAAGAGTGGCACCACAGAACGTACAAACGATGGCCTTCCATGATCTCCAATAAAACGGGATGAAGCAGAATCTTGTCGCCGTTAACATATCGGCGACTTTGGCTCCACGGCCGCACCGGGAACAAGATCCGGCCACCGGCTTCGTCCTCCTCATCTTTCGAGTCTGATCCACCAAAAAGCAAAAAACCACCATACGAAATCTATCGATTACCGTTATATACCGACTATCTTGGTGATTTTGGTCGTCGGAGTTTGATTGATCATCGGAAAAGTAAAAAACCGGTGCTCGTCTGAATGCGTTTCATGGCGTTGGGCGTTGGTTTTATAGACCGAAGGAAGAACAACCACCTGCGAGTGATTGGTTGGGTTTTCCTTATGAACCGTTGGATGATTGCCACGTGGAAGTGAAGGTGGGGAGGAAATGGCAAGGGATATTTTAGTTATGTATGTATGTACATGATCATGGTGTATGGAAGGCTATGTGTTGTTTTACTGCCACGTGTCTCATCATTATGTTTCTAGGTTTTTGTTTTTCCCCAAATATAAGACATGTCATGAGTTCAATCTCAGATTTTCTGTTAGTCTTAGTTGTTCCGTGTGGAGCCGGTTAGGATTGTCGGTAATCAAGTCCAAATCATAGTGTTGGAAATGTAATCAGGTGTTGATTTAAAGATGGGGTGTTCGTACCCTGGTTTCTTTGTTTTGATGCAGTGACTTTTTTTATGCAATCTTAAAGATACATCTGCTTTAAATTGATGTATATTCTTGTAACTTAACAGAAAATGGATGCAGTCTACTGATAATATCATTACATACGATATTATAGGTTACCTCAAGAAAATGGTTGCAGTCTACTGATAGTGTAACAAAAAATGGTTGCAGTCTACTGATAGTAAGTGTAACAAAAAATGGTTGCAGTCTACTGATAGTAAGTGTAGCAAGGAAAAAAACCACGTTGTAAGTCATTTTCATCCATGGCTTTTAATACTTAGATTTTTGTTTTATTTCATATCATACTGAATATTTTATGCTACTGCTTCAAACTTTTTTCAAACTTTTATCCTCTGAAAATAATTTAAGATGGATTATTGTTAATAAGTTAGTACGGATAAAAACGCATATTTATTGAACGTCGATCACAAAAGGATATGCACGAGAGTTTTGTGACGGAAACAACGTCTGGGAGACGAAAATTTGGAATTTTTTTTTTATGAAAAATGAAAAAAACATGAAAGACATATGGTGTTTGACTTTTGACTCCTTAAAGGGGAAGTAATTTGGATATGAAGATGAAGTTGAAAGGAGTGACTTTTTTGGACATTCCCAACTGCCTTCAATTAATGCATTCATTAAGCCATATGAAAATATCAATCATAAACAAGATTTATATTGTTTTATATAATATAATCAGATCGTTTATTTTTTGACGTATTTTACTGGTTGTAATTAACGATGGGATTCAAACTTCTAACGTTATAGGGAAACAGATGTGGGTGGTGGTGATCTAACTTTAGTGTGAATGTTGGTCGTATCTGTCTTGGCTAAAAGAACATATGTGTTCGTAAAATATCATGTGGAGGCTTTTGATTGGATTAAAGACCAGGTAACGTTATATCTAATAAGTAGTAACTAGATGTGAAATGAAGATCGTGTGTGTTTGCTATGTTCTATCTACCTCTCGACAAATATGATACTGGGGGTATTTTGGATTTGACCCTCGTTTCTTTATTTTAGCTGGTGAATTACAAGAATTTCGTTGTTAAAGTTATGGGTTTTGTATAAAAACAGGTGAAACCGTTATTATGTCATGTCTTTGTCGTGTGTAGCCTTCATTCTTGAATTTGATCATGAAAAAGTGGTTGATAACAGTCGTAATACATGGTTATGACTGTTGTTTGGATGTATATATGCATCTAGTATGTATCGGAAACCAATAAATGATAATGGACCAGAAACACGACATATGGGTTTAATTAAAAACACAAATTCCGTTAAGAAAATTGATGAGACAATTTTTCGTTTGAATTCTCGTTTGTCACATGTCGTGTCATGTCACAATGGGTGTATGGTTACGTCTTCTTAGCTCGTAGCTTTCCATGTGATGCTCGTATGTTATATTCAAAGTATTCATACAATTAATAAGAACGTCTATGATCCTATTCCGTATATTCAAACAAATGTCGGGAGCGAAATGCATAAAATGAGCGCGATAAGCAAAATAATACAGTATTACCCCAATCATGCACCATACGTTAAGAAATATATTATTTTAATAATATTCTTGTGCGTTTTGAATAAAACAACATAAGAAGATGACATGATTTGTACGTTGGAAAACGTAAAAAAGGATCTCTTAAATGGATGAGATGCACTGGATCAATCCCCGTATCAAGCGCGATTTATGGGTAAGTTTGAGATTAAAGGTAATCAAGGGTCCAAATCGCTTATTACGCTTTTTACTTTCACCCTCATTCTCACACGATCTTTCGCTTGTATGCATATAGGGAGGACCAAATGAAAATGATAATTATTTAAGATAATACAAAAAAGGCGAAATCATGTGCAAAAAAATCACATGTGATTTTATATTAATGGTCAAAAAAGGTATGCGAGCGACTTTAGGCACGACTTCAGGTCATGTGGCAAAGTCATGTGAATCACATATGATTTTGTACGTGATGTTAATGCAAAGTTACATGTAATCCGACTGCTTCTTTTAATTTTTTTTAATTAACTTGGATATCCAACCTGCTATACGAGCTGACTAATGTCAGGGTGACTACCTGCTTTGCGGGTAGCCCAAAGTCACCGTATTTGAACCTCCGTAGCCACAAGGGGATTTTTGTTTCTCCTTGGATTTGAACCTGAAACCTCTTACACATTTTTACCCCTTGGAGTCAAGCTCAAACCAATCAAACACCACTCTTATGGTTAATTTTTTTATTCTCTTAAATAGATATTCTCGTTTAAACTAAATATCTATACTATATTATAAAACATTTGAGAAAAACTCTTAAAGCCCACTTTTTATACATAAAGTAGTGTTTATTGATGCATGTTACTTAAAACTCAAGATTATAAGTAGATTGTACGTAAGGATAACTTATTAAAGCTTCATATCTGAATTCGTGTAACTAAATGCAGAAAAACACAATCAAATACAGGATCAAACATCTCATTTTAAATATAAAAAATCTAAAATTTAATTAGGATAATCATTGAAATCTAACAGAATAATTAATTGTTATCTTTATAAAATGTTATATTATTAAACCAAAAATAAATTACTTCGTCATTAAACTTAAATTAAATTATAATAAAAAAATTAAATTAAAGAAATTACATAAAAAAATGAGAACTTTTAAATAGTTGATTTGATATTAATATTGATATATTTTTTTCAAATTTTTATGATATCTTCAAATTTATATTTTATTTAAAAATAAAATCATTATCGCTCTCTTAAAAACACATAAAATCGTATTATAGCATTAACAAGACAAATAATAAAATAAAATATTAAAATCAAAATGTATCTTGTTGTATTAAACGAATACTTTTCTAATATAAATATATGCATATATAAACAGTGTACGGACACATGAATTACGGAACGACATTGAAATGGCACAAACAATGAAACAACCAATACTTTCCCAACTAAAAACAATTAAAATAATAAATTTTTTGACGATTTAAATAAATAAAATAAAATTTAAAAAATGAAATGTGGAGGCCCACCCGAAAACATGGAAAGTGGAGGCCCACCCGATATGTAGGCAGACAGCCCACGTAGTTCAACTCAAAAGCCCATTATGTGGTCAATCGTTTTCTTTGCGACTAAATTCATTGATGCATCAAATAAATGTTATTTAATTATTTTATATTTAAAATATCAATAAAAAATATATATTCACACACTATTTATTTCCTTCTTTTTGCAGTAAGATTTTGAAGAATCTGTTGGAGCAAAAAACATACACAAAATCTGTATTTTCACCATTTTGAAGTATCTGTTGAAGATGCTCTAACTTGTGCTGCGTAAGAAGAAATATTGTTTATGCATATCATGCCCATTAAAATATCTGACAAACTGGTTAACAATTACCTGTATCTTTGTTTGATCAGTTAAAACATAACTGGGAACTGAGTGTTTCGAAAGTCTATTTTACGAAAAATGAAATGACCCACCAAAGACTAAGAACCATAGAATTTAATTCGTAAATTAAGTTTCTATTTCCAAGTTATGGGTATACATGCTTAAATTGAAGTTGAAATCTACAAATTCATAGTTCATATCAAACTATCCATTTTGGTTCAATGTATTTATTCTATACAAGTTTGTAATTCATTTCGTTTTCAGTTATTTTATATCTGTTATGTAAGTAATAATATACAGTACAAGATTCTCCTCAGGTTTCAGCGTTTCAAGTCCTGTAAGGCGCTGTAGATTTTCTGGGTTGTTCTTTAGTGCCGTTGAGATTAATTGAGGTGCGTGGAAACTATCTTAAACACAATACGTAATCTGATAAATAATTCAGATTTGTGTATGGACCATATCAGATATTAGATAATGAAATATTTCTCGACAGATTAGGAAGGGAGGGAGGATCGAAACTAGTTTCCTCATGCTTTCCTATCTTCTAGCACATCCGTTCTTCTTCCTTATCCTTTTTCTAATAAATGATGAAATAATAACATCTGTTTACATAGATAAAATTCAAATTATTTATCTGATAAGAGAAACGGGAGAAAAGACGTTGTGTCAGATGGAAAATCAGGAGGAACTGAGTTCCATTCTCACCCCTCCTCCGATTTGTTGAGAAATGTTACATTACCTAATATCTGATATGGTCAATTCAGTTGTAGCAAACTATGTACTATCAGTGACCTCCATTATCGT